GTGCTGAACACGTGGTACTGATAACACAGGTGCTGTGACGTGCGGTACTGATAACACAGGTGCTGTAACACGTGGTACTGATAACATGGTGTGCTGTGACGTGTGGTACTGACCACAGGTGCTGTGAGTTGCGGTACTGATAACACAGGTGCTGTAACACGTTGTACTGATACATGTGCTGTGACATGCAGTACTGATACCACAGGTGCTGACGTGCTGTATTGATACACAGGTGGCTGTAACACGTGGTACTGATAACACAGGGCTGGACGGTGGTACTGATACCACAGGTGCTGTGACGTGTGGTACTGATAACACAGGTGCTGTTGACGTGTGGTACTGATAACCACAGGTGTTGTGACGTGCTGTATTGATTACACACGTGATGTGATATGCCGCATTGATACCACAGGTGCTGTGACGTGCTGCATTGACAGAACAGGTGATGTGGTATGCTGTGTCGATAACGAGGGGAGAACTGACATGGTTATTTCAGCTAATGCAGGAAACGCCCTTTATATAGGCAGCGTCCAGTCCTGACAAGAAATTCTCAGTAAAATTACAGTAGAAAATAGCTTGTGGGGCCTGCGTTATGCGCGATGCAGCAGGCACCCATGAGGGAAGAAGCAAGGGGGTGGACGTGTGGAAGTGCGTGGAGAGCCTCACGTTACAGCTGCAGTGGCACGATGAGGCGGGACAGGCAGCCAGCACTTGAACGTGGGCTCATGGAAGCTGGAGATGCAGCTTCGCCAATCAACCACCACTGAAAGCACAGGAGGCAGAGATCGCCCAGGACGGACTGAGGATGAAGGCTGGCGCAGCTGCAGCCAGGAGTGCGCACAGGCGTGCGTGGGCGTCTGTCAGAAGCCGCTGCTCGGCATCGCTCTGCCCCTCAGGAGGACTGCTGCTGGGGAGTGGATTTTGAATCCACAGCACAGAGACAGAAGCTCTGGGAAGTTGTCCCGCACGGGCTGTGAAATGGTCGGACCTCGCTCAGGGAGGAGGCCTGAGAGTTCACGTTTATCGCCAAGGTGGTCGGCAGAGTTAACTGAGTCGTTCACTACACTCTTCACACGGCCACAAGCCCCACAGCCTAAAGACACCCGTGCTCCTCCCTGGTCCGAGCAGCACCGGTCATCACCCCTCTCCCCGCCCCAGACCGAGAGCCCGCACCCTCCTGGTCAGAGCAGCGTCCGGTCATCACCTCTCCCCCCCCCAGACTGAGAGCCCGCGCCCTCCCTGGTCAGAGCCGCGTCGGTCATCACCTCTCCCACCCCCAGAATGAGAGCCCGCGCCCTCCCTGGTTCGAGCAGCGTCCGGACATCAACCCTCTCCCCGCCCCAGACTGAGAGCCCGCGCCCTCCCTGGTCAGAGCAGTGTCCAGTCATCCACCCTCATCCCCCCCCAGACGGAGAGCCCGCACCCTCCCTGGTCAGAGCAGCCGTCCACCTGCCTCACTGCACCCCGTGCCCCGCCTCGCTGCACCCCGTCCCGCAGTGACGCACCCGTGTCTTCCAGAAACCTGACGGAGATCCTGCTGAGCACCCAGCACCTGGAGTTCTTCAGGGAGGTCCTGCGGGACCGCAAGGCCGAGAGCCCGCTGCAGTTCCTGGTCGCCGTGCAGGAAGCTCAGCTCGGTAGACCAACGAGAAGCTCTACAAGGTCCGCCCTGGACAGCAATCGTCCAGACCTTCTTCACAGCAAGCTGCCTGCCCGGTGCGCACCGCCTCCTCCCCGGCTGGGGCGGCGCGGGACAGCGGCCGCCGAGACCAGCTGCGTCCCTCCCCTTTTGCTGCGTGTATGCTGCAAGTAGAAATCTCTCGCTCCTTGTAAGCGTTTGTGGCGTAAGGGCCCCCTTTGGCCAAGGAACAGGTGAAACGCAGAGGCTGACTCGTCCCGCCCGCGAAGCTTTGCTCCAGCTCCGGGTCAGCCCGGGGTACGGAGTCCGAGGGCGAGGTCACGGGCACTGGGAGGTGAGACCGGCGGCCTGGAAGACCCCCTGAGCTGGAGGCTGCGTGTGGCCACGCCCGCCACGCCTGGCCGGAGGCAGAGGGGCCACGCGGGACTGCCCGTAAGCAGAAGCAGATGGCCGCGAGGCCGCCTCCCTGTCCACACACGGGGACAGGCGGGCTTCAAATCCCTGCTTTGCTTCCGATCCAGCTTCCCACAGCACATGCCCTGGGAGGAGGGGGGATGGCTCCAGCACCTGGGCCCCTGCCACCCACGTGGGAGACCCGGATGGAGTTTCCGGATGTTGGCTTTGGCCTGGCCCAGCCCTCACTGAAGCAGGCATTTGTAGAATGAACCAGTAAATGGGAATTAACAATCTCTCTCTCTCTCGTCTCTCTCTCTCGCTTGCTCTCTCTCTCTCTCCCCCCCCTCCCTCTCCCGCCCCCACCCCCCACTCTGCCTTTCAAATAAAAACAAAATAAGGCACGGGGATGTATTTTATGAAAAGAGATGAAATTAGCAAATCTGTCAGAATCCTGAGAGCTGGTCTCGGGCTCTCGGCCGCCAGCTCTGCAACCGTTCTCCGTGAGTGGAAGAGAAAGGGGTGCCCAGCTCGCGACACCCTCTGGACACGGGGCCTGCCCAGCTCTGGCGAGGCTCAGCCGGAGTCTGGGGGCCCCATTGCCCCATTGCCCCAGCAATTCACTCTCATCTGTGGCCCGTCCACTCTCCCTCAACGGAAACCTCCAAACCTGTGCACACAATCTCCTCCCGCAAGCACTCCCCCTTGGAGTTCGGATGGACCGAGGTCAGGAGAACGTGAACCCCAGAGGACCTGCGCCGGCGAGGCGGGGCTGAGCCGGCAGCGAGGATGGGCTGAGCGCCCCCCTCCATGTTTTGCAGAGGAGGTGCTACAGTGCAGTGCCCCGATCGTCAAAGAAGTTGCCCACATGCGCCACAGTCAGCACCACCACGCTGCTCATGCTGCAGGGCTACATCATGAAGTCCCTGGAAGAGAAGTGGTGAGCACCCTCGCTGCGCACGCTCCTGGCTCGCCAGCCCAGGGCGCTCATCGCCAGCCCTGCAAAAGCAAACGCTAGACTGAACTAGACTGACCCCAAGCTCCCCCCACTGTCTCCCTGCCCCCACCTGCCTCCCTCCACCCCCTCCCACCTCCCTGCCCCCACCTGCCTCCCTCCACCCCCTCCCACCTCCCTGCCCCCACCTGCCTCCCTCCACCCCCTCCCACCTCCCTGCCCCCAACCTGCCTCCCTCCACCCCCCGCCTCCCTCCACACCCCCGCCTCCCTGCCCCCAACCTGCCTCCCTGCCCCCCACCTCCCTGCCCCCACCTGCCTCCCTCCACCCCCTCCCGCCTCCCTGCCCCCAACCTGCCTCCCTCCACCCCCCCCGCCTCCCTGCCCCCAACCTGCCTCCCTGCACCCACCTGCCTCCCTGCCCCGCAACCTCTCTGCCCCCACCCCTCCCCCCACCCCCACGGCTCCCTGCACGGGCACACACTGCTGCTGCTTTGCCATGCTGACCGGCAGGGCCCCGGCAGCACCCCGGAAGCTGGCACCCAGGCGAGTGCCCTCTGTCTCCCTTGTGCAGGCTGAAAGATTACCAGGAGCTGTTCCCGCCCCGGCCCCAGGAGGTGGACCCTGAGCTGCCAGCCGCGCCCAGGAAGCCCTCCAAGACCACGGCGGCCGCGGCGACCACAGCTTACTTCCAGGATTCCCAGGTCAGTGAGGAGAGCACAGGACTTCCCCACTGGTCCTGGCCCCAGCTGCGCTCTGCTGGGCCTTCAGTCCCCATTGGACAAAGGAGGGCTCTCAACTCAGGAACTCCAACCTCCAAGAACCAAAGAAGCCCCTCCCCCACCCCCAGCACACCCCATGAGTGACAGCACAGGGGCCTCCCTCCCTGCCCCTCCCCCCAGCAGACCCTGTGGGTGACAGCACAGGGCCCTCCCTCCTTCCCCCTCCCCCCCAGCAGACCCTGTGAGTGACAGCACAGGGCCCTCCCTCCCTGCCCCTCCCCCCAGCAGACCCTATGAGTGACAGCACAGGGCCCTCCCTCCCTGCCCCTCCCCCCAGCAGACCCTGTGAGTGACAGCACAGGGGCCTCCCTCCTTCCCCCTCCCCCCCAGCAGACCCTGTGAGTGACAGCACAGGGGCCTCCCTCCCTGCCCCTCCCCCCAGCAGACCCTGTGAGTGACAGCACAGGGCCCTCCCTCCTTCCCCCCCTACCCCCCAGCAGACCCTGTGAGTGACAGAACAGGGCCCTCCCTCCTTCCCCCTCCCCCCCAGCAGACCCTGTGAGTGACAGCACAGGGGCCCTCCCCCTCCTGTCATGCTCTTGTAGAGCCAAGAGGCTGTTTCTTTCCCCTGTGAAGCCATTGTGCAGGACACAGAGTGGCCATGTAGCCGAGTGCCCTTGCTAATTTCTGTATCCAGATTAGCCTGATGCCCTCTCCGAGTTGTCGGCAGGTGAGCATGAGCACTGGGCAGTGAACGTTCAGCATCCGGCACTGAGCAGGGAGCACTGAGCAGCGAGCACTGAGCAGGGCGCACTTGCTGGCTGTGCTTCGCTCTTGGTCAGAGTCTGACCCGAGGACCCCGTGCTCTGCCCGTGGCTGTGGCCGTGGCTGTGGCCGTGGCCCTTCCTTCACACTGAGTCATCTCCGTGCTGGTGCAGGGTGTTGAAAAGAAGGCTCCACTCGGCCAGCCGCTTTGCCTGAGTTCTAGGACTCGGGAGCAGAAGGAACCGGCACGGATCCAAGGCCGGCTGTGCCCTGCCCTGTGCTAGGCTCACACTGGTCCTTGCCAAGGCTCGCCACGCCCCAGGGCTGCTGCTTCTGTCTCCAGGGAGGCACAGGGACCAGGCGAGGTGGACCCAAACCACACAGTTAGGCAGGAGCAAGGTCCCACACTGAGTTTCTGACCCAGGGCTGTCAGTACTGCACCCAGCTCTCCAAAGCCAAGTTTGTGTGGCCATCCCTGGTCTGTGGAGGGAGCCATGGAGCCACTGGGGCAGTGAGATTCTGCCTCCACGTGTCCGTTTCTGCTGGTAAAGAGCAGGAGAGTGGGCCGGTGCTGTGGCGCAGCGGGTTGACGCCCGGGCCTGAAGCGCTGGCATCCCACATGGCGTCAGTTCAAGCCAGCTGCTCCACTTCCCATCTAGCTCCCTGCTGTGGCCTGGGAAAGTAGTAGAGGATGGCCCAAGTCCTTGGGCTCCTGCACCCATGTGGGAGACCCAGAGGAAGCTCCTGGCTCCTGGCTTCAGATTGGCATAGCTCTGGCCGTTGTGGCTAATTGGGGAGTGAACCAGCAGATGGAAGACCTCTCTCTCTCTCTCTCTCTCTCTCTCTCTCTCTCTCTCTCTAACTCTGATTTTCAAATAAATAAATAAATTTTCAAAACAAAACAAAACAGGCGAGCGGTCACTGGAATCCCTGCTGGAAACCAGATAAGAAACATGAAATGTGTCTGTGTGTCTGTGTGTCTGTGTCTGTGTATGCATGAGTTGGGGGGTGTGCATGTGCGTGAGTGTGCATAATACTGTGCATGAGTATGCGTGTGTGTGTGCATGGCTGTGTGCATGACTTGTGTGTATGACTTCTGTGGGGGGGTGTGCATGAGTGTGTGTGCATGACTTGTGTGTATGACTTCTGTGGGGGGGTGTGCATGAGTGCGTGTGCATGACTGGGTGTGCGTGAATGCCTGGATGTGTGCACAATTGTGCATGATAGTGTGCTTGAGTGCATGTGTGTGCACAAGAGTGTGGGTGTGTGTGAATGTGCATGAGTGAATGGATGTGTGTGCACAGAGTGTGTGGGTATGTGTGAATGCACAGTTGTGTGTTCATGAGTTTCATGGGTTGCGTGGGTGTGTGCTGAGGGCGGTGAGAGTGGGTGCGTGTCGTCACTCTGGTTCTGGAGATGCCCAGAAGTGGTTGCACTCATTTCCTACTTTCTTGAGTGTTTCAAAGTCTGCCACCCAGTGGTTCCGGCGTTCAGCTCTGTCCATTCCTGCCCACTGTCAGCTCCCACCCCACTCCCAGCTGTGGCGTCTCAGATCTTCACTGTGCAGGCTGTGGGGGGAGGGGCAGGGGCCGTGGCCGCGGCACAGCCCTGCCTCGTGAAGCTGGGCTCTTCTGGCCACAGCTGCGTGGTGAGGGCTGCCGGGCCAGCGCTCTGACCTGCAGCTCCTTGGCACAGTGAGTGCTGAGTTCCTGCCCTGCCAGCGCAGGTGAGCTGCAGCTCACGGACGCCATGTCTGCTCCTCCCCCAGAAGAGAGGCTGGGTGAAGATGATCAGCTTCATCAAGAGCTTCTGCAACTATCGCAGATTCATGACCAAAGCCAGCAAGCGCCAGGAATTTGAAAACTATCTTCACCTGGAACTGTACAACCACAAAGAAAGTAAGCTACTGTCCCAGTTGTCATCTCCGTGGTCACATTTGTGTGTGGCTGGTGTCTCTGTGGTCACGGTTGCATGTGGTTGGTGTCTCCATGGTCATGTTTGTGTGGTTGGTGTCCGTGGTCATGTTTTCATGTAGTTGGTGTCTCTGTGGTCATGTTTGTATGTGGTTGGTGTCTCTGTGGTCACTTTTGTGTGTGGCTGGTGTCTCTGTGGTCATGGTTGCATGTGGTTGGTGTCCATGGTCATGTTTTCATGTAGTTGGTGTCTCTGTGGTCATGTTTGTGTGTGGCTGGTGTCTCTCTGGTCATATTTATGTGTGGCTGGTGTCTCTGTGGTCATGTTTGCATGTGGTTGGTGTCTCCGTGGTCAGGTTTGTGTGTCGTTGGTGTCTGTGGTCATGTTTGCATGTGGTTCGTGTCTCTGGTCATGTCTGTGTGTGGTTGGTGTCTCTGTGGTCACGGCTGCATGTGATTGGTGTCTCCATGGTCATGTTTGTGTGGTTGGTGTCTCTGTGGTCATGTTTGTTTGTGGTTGGTGTATCCGTGGTCACATTTGCATGTGGCCAGTGTCTCTGTGGTCACATTTGAATGCCCAGTCATCACAGTCTCCGTGGTCATGTTTGCGTGCCCTGTCTTGGCAGTCTCTGTGGAGAACTGGCATGGTGCTGGTGTGACCGTATTTCTGAGACAGGCACTATGGAGACGCCCTTCCCTGGTTTTCCCGTGGCCATCCCACATCTGAGCGGTCCCTCAGCCCAAGTGAGAGGCTGAGCCCAGGGCAGGGCCTGGGCACTCCCACAGGCCAAAGCACGGAGCTGCGGTCTGCTCCCTCCATTTCAGTCAGGCCTAGGCAGAAGGTTCCGGGCCCACGAGTGGCTGAGCCAAGTCGGACTGCAGCTCTCTCTTCTTTCTCTCTCAGACTTCTCCACCTCACCCAACACAGCAGGGCGGCCGACCTTTTTGTCCACAAACGTCCGCAGCGCAGACCAGGAGAACGGGGAAGTGAGCCTCGTGAAGCGCCGCATCTTCGGCCACAGGGTCATCACCGTGAACTTCGCCGTCAACGACCTGTACTTCTTCTCTGAGATGGAGAAGTAAGTTTCCCGGCCTCATGCCCAACACCTCCCAGCAGAGACCGGCTTGGCCTGCAGGAGGCACAGGGCTTGCTGCGTGGCCAAGCAGGGGTCTGCTGCTGGGACCCCTGAGTGCTGCCCCCAAAGGTGCGTCGAGGCGGGGGTGCTCTTATTCCCGGGAACTGGGGTTCTGTGCTCCCCTTTGCTGACGAAGGGTCCCCTGGGGAAGCACTGGACAAACAGCCTCCTGCTGAAGCTGGGAGTTGTAACAAGGACCACACGTGCCTCACGCAGGACACGTGTTCACGTCAAAGCCCCTGTTCAGGGGCCAAGCCCCAGCGCAGACCAAACGCAGTGCAGCAGTGGGAGGCCTGCCCACTCTCCCCGTGTGAACCACGCCCCACGTGCTGTCAGCTAATTCTAAGTGGGGTTTCTGGAAGTGGAGCAAGAACTTCCCGATTACTGGCGGGCAGCTGAGCCTGCTGCATCGCCATGCTGCTCTCCTCAGCTGCTTCGAGTCACTTGGCCGCAACTCGCTCAGCGCCATTTCTTAAACAGCGACTACTCGTGCGGGAGCATCCAGTGCGTTCAGGTTTCTTTTCAAAGAAACAGTGAGGCGTCCGTTTCATAGACACACCTTGTCAGTTCTCCTAGGTGACAGATTACTGTTGAAGTACAACAGGCAGAGGGACTGGGGAGGCACAGGAATACCGCCAGGTGCACGTGCACCTCTGCTCGCTGGGAGGGCACGCGCTGCAGATGCCGTGTCTGTGTGGCCAGATCCCAGAGCCCGGTGGAGAGCGGTCTCAGGAGGGGAACGAAGCAAACATGGAGGAGAGATCTTCCACGGCCCCAGTGAGGGGTTTAGCTCTGTGCCACGAACACTCCCTGGTGAGCCCGGGCACAGGTTGTGGCCCTGGAGATACGGACAGCACTAGAAACACATCCTCTCCTGCCAAGATCCCCCGAGAGCTGGCAGACAGACACAGATGCTAGCACACGTGCAGGGTGTAGGGGATATGGTCCTGTGAGTCATAGGAAGTGCATGGGGACAGCTGCAGGCCACACAGGAAGTGCATGGGGACAGCTGCAGGCCACACAGGAAGTGCATGCAGACAGCTGGGAGGCCACACAGGAAGTGCATGCAGACAGCTGCAGGCCCCACAGGAAGTGCATGGGGACAGCTGGGAGGCCCCACAGGAAGTGCATGGGGACAGCTGGGAGGCCACACAGGAAGTGCATGCAGACAGCTGGGAGGCCCACAGGAAGTGCATGGGGACAGCTGCAGGCCACACAGGAAGTGCATGGGGACAGCTGCAGGCCACACAGGAAGTGCATGGGGACAGCTGGGAGGCCACACAGGAAGTGCATGGGGACAGCTGCAGGCCACACAGGAAGTGCATGCAGACAGCTGCAGGCCACACAGGAAGTGCATGGGGACAGCTGGGAGGCCACACAGGAAGTGCATGGGGACAGCTGCAGGCCCCACAGGAAGTGCATGGGGACAGTTGCAGGCCACACAGGAAGTACATGGGGACAGCTGCAGGCCACACAGGAAGTGCATGGGGACAGCTGCAGGCCACACAGGAAGTGCATGGGGACAGCTGCAGGCCACACAGGAAGTGCATGGGGACAGCTGCAGGCCACACAGGAAGTGCATGGGGACAGCTGCAGGCCACACAGGAAGTGCATGGGGACAGCTGAAGGCCACACAGGAAGTGCATGGGGACAGCTGGGAGGCCCCACAGGAAGTGCATGGGGACAGCTGGGAGGCCGCACAGGAAGTGCATGGGGACAGCTGGGAGGCCACACAGGAAGTGCATGGGGACAGCTGGGAGGCCCCACAGGAAGTGCATGGGGACAGCTGCAGGCCACACAGGAAGTGCATGTGGAAATCTGGGAGGCCACACAGGAAGTGCATGGGGACAGCTGCAGGCCTCAGGCATGACTTCTTGGAAGCTGGGTGACCTGGGCTGAATGTTGAAGGGTGAGACAGATTTAGTCAGATGACGGGGCGGGGGCAGGGAAGCAGAGCAATGCCAGGCAGAGTGGTCTGCCCCCAGTGACCCCTGTCCCACCACCACCCTCCCCGCTCCCTGGCTCGCACAGCAACCAGAGTAGCAGACAGCCATGTCGGGGCCGCTGGGGTGCTTTCCTGGGGCTGAGCAGGTCAGCACGGGAGGGAGGCAGCAGGCAGAGCCTGTGCCTGGCCATCAGCTGAGGTGGGCACTGCTGAGGGCCAGTGTGGCAGGGGCAGGTGCTCCAGGGCCACCTGGTGGTGGGTGAGTGATGCTGCAGCCTGGCCATGCTGACCCGCCTCCTGCAGGCCCATCTGGTCCTTGCTGCTTCCTCCTGTCCACGCCTCTCAGGTTTAACGAGCTGGTGAACTCCGCTCACATGCTGCACAGCACCCGGGCACTGAACGAGAATGACGTGATCCTGCTGCGGACCAAGATCAACATCATCCTCAAGCTCTACCTGAACTCGGACATCCCTCCCAAGCTGCGGGTACGCGGCACGCTGCCCAGGGGCACACAGCGGGCCAGCCCACGGGCCGGAGGGGCGGTCTCCAGGGTCCTGGGGGCCCCTGCCAGTGCTGGGCTCCGCTCTGGCACAGGTGAACATCTCTGAGTCCCAGAAGGACGCCGTCCTTGCCGCCATCACCGAGGGCCACCTGGACCGCAGCATCTTCCACGGGGCTATCATGTCTGTCTTCCCTGTCATCATGTACTTCTGGAAAAGGTAACTGCGGCCGGGGCTGCTGGCCGCCCGCTCAGGAAGACACGGAGCTTCCTGGGCCGTGCTCTGCTGCCCACAGCCCCGCGGGGAGCTGAGGGTGTGTGCTCGCCCCACGGGGAGCTGAGGGTGTGTGCTCGCCCCGCGGGGAGCTGAGGGTGTGTGCTCGGCCCGCGGGGAGGTGAGGGTGTGTGCTCGCCCGCGGGGAGCTGAGAGGGTGTGTGCTCACCCCACGGGGAAATGAGAGGGTGTGTGCTCGCCCTGTGGGGAGCTGAGAGGGTGTGTGCTCGCCCCGCGGGGAGCTGAGAGGGTGTGTGCTCACCCCACAGGGAAATGAGAGGGTGTGTGCTCACCCCACGGGGAAATGAGAGGGTGTGTGCTCGCCCCGCGGGGAGCTGAGAGGGTGTATGCTCGCCCCACGGGGAGCTGAGGGTGTGTGCTCGCCCCGCGGGGAAATGAGAGGGTGTGTGCTCGCCCCTCGGGGAGCTGAGAGGGTGTGTGCTCGCCCCGTCGTGCTCTGCCTGCGCACTGAACAGGGAGCCCTGAGTCGGAAGACGGGGGCAGAGGGCGGGAGGCGCTGACTTAGAGCTAGGGTTTGGGCTCTTCCAGGCGCTGGTTCCCAGCTGAGGGTTTGAGCAGCCATGGCTGCCTGGGGTGGGGCGGGCAGGTGTCCCACGTACCTGCTGGACTCGGGGAGCCTCAGAACCACCCCGGGGGAGCGCAGGGTCAGGTTCAGGTTCTGGCTGAGGTGGCAGGCATGGGACCAGCTGGGGCGGAGGGGGCGAGGGCAAAGCCAGAGAGAGGCAGCAGTTTCTGCAGACTTCGGGCAGCCGCGGCCCTGGCTCCCGACTCTTCCTGCGGCGGTTCGGCCAAGGGGCCGGCCCGCGTCCTCCCAGGGCCCGTGGGCAGCGGCTGGCTGAACGTGCGCCCCTGGCTGAGGGGGCCCTGCGACTGCCCTGTGCCCCGGCTGCAGACACTGCTCGTTCAGGCACACAGAGCTGTGGGAGCTGCTCACCCTTGACCGAGACCTGGAAGACGCAGGCTCCGCACTAGCCGCCTGCCCCTCTCCTGCCAGGCTGCCAGGGCGTCGGGACCCCTGGTTGGTGCCGGTGCTGGTGCTCGGAGGGTGGGGGTGCCCGGGGCGTTGGGTCCCTCATCCTTGCCCAGCTGCCTCTGCCTGTGCCCTCTACCCTCATGCAGATTGGTGCGGTGCAGACTGGGCTGAACCCCTCAGCCGCTGGGGCATGGGGGTGCAGGGCTCCCAACCCCATTTCACAGGTGAGGGAGCAGAGGTTCACAGTGGTTGAGGGGCTGGCCGTGGACCACTTGGAGAGTGGTGGAACCAGGACTGAACCCCAGGTCTCCTGTTCCACCAACACTGACCTGCGGCCAGTGGGAGGTCCCCAAGGGAGAAGCCACTGAGGCCCTCGGGGAGGAGGAAGGCAACCAGAACCCAGAGTGAGGGGCGCATGGCGACAGGTGGGTGCTCAGGGCCCAGGCCAGGGGCTGTGGAGAGCGGAGTTGCGGGGGCGGGGGCCACAGCAGCAGGAGCCAAGGTCTCAGCAAGGCGGGATGGGGGGTGGGGGGCGCTGAGAGGAGGCATTTCCCCAGGCCCTGAGGGAGGCAGGTTCTTCCCTCTCCACTCCCTGCTGGATCTAAGGGGCCCAAGGTGCGGCAGCAGGCGGGACGGGCCTCCCTCTCTGTGCTGTGTGGCCAGGCCCCCCCACCGGACCCCAAGTTCTCCCCCGTGACCGGCAGCTGCCTCCCCACAGGTTCTGCTCCTGGAAGGCTGTCCGCTCCTACCTGGAGTACAGGGGCCGGAAGTTCAAGGACAGGAGCCCTCCCAAGCCCACCTACAAGTACCCCCCGTGGAGTGGAGGTAATGCCCCCCTCACAGACGCTCTCTGCTCCTGCACCTGGGAGGGGCAGCAAGGCCTGAGGCTGAGCTGACCACGCAGCTCGCAGGGCACAGGGCGTCTGCTGGGCACGGGAGCCTCCGTGGCACAGGCACGGAGCAGCAGCAGTCAGGGTGAGGCCATTGCACCTGCAGTGGCCGTGCTGCCCACCTCAGCACCGCTGTCCAGCAGCCAGAGGCTTCTGCCACGGACTCACAGCTGTGTGGGGTGGACGTGATCATGGCCAGGGGCTCACAGCTGTGTGGGGTGGACGTGATCATGGCCAGGGGCTCACTGCTGTGTGGGGTGGACGTGATCATGGCCACGGGCTCACTGCTGTGTGGGGTGGACATGATCATGGCCATGGGCTCACAGCTGTGTGGGGTGGACATGATCGTGGCCACGGGCTCACAGCTGTGTGGGGTGGACATGATCATGGCCAGGGGCTCACAGCTGTGTGGGGTGGACATGATCGTGGCCACGGGCTCACAGCTGTGTGGGGTGGATGTGCATTGTGGCCAGGGGCTCACAGCTGAGTAGGGGTGGTGCGTCCTTCAACCCTGTCACTGGGCAGTGTTTGCTGTGTGTCGTCCAGTGAGGCAGTGAGGAGCTGGACGCAGGCTGCCCCCACCCAGCCACCCCAGGCTGCCCCCACCCAGCCACCCCAGGCTGCCCCCACCCAGCACCCCCCAGTCTCCCCTCACCCAGCACCCCAGTCTCCCCTCACCCAGCCCCCCAGTCTCCCCTCACCCAGCCACCCCCAGGCTGCCCCCACCCAGCCACCCCCCAGTCTCCCCTCACCCAGCACCCCAGTCTCCCCTCACCCAGCCACCCCCAGTCTCCCCGCATCCAGCCCCCCAGTCTCCCCTCACCCAGCCACCCCTAGGCTGCCCCCACCCAGCCACCTCCCAGTCTCCCCTCACCCAGCCACCCCAATCTCTCCGCACCCAGCCCCCCAGTCTCCCCTCACCCAGCCCCCCAGTCTCCCCTCACCCAGCCACCCCCAGGCTGCCCCCACCCAGCCACCCCCAGTCTCCCCTCACCCAGCCCCCCAATCTCCCCTCACCCAGCCACCTCCCAGTCTCCCCTCACCCAGCACCCCAGTCTCCCCTCACCCAGCCACCCCCAGCCTCCCCTCACCCAGCACCCCCAGTCTCCCCTCACCCAGCCACCCCAGTCTCCCCTCACCCAGCCCCCCAGTCTCCCCTCACCCAGCCATCCCCAGGCTGCCCCCACTCAGCACCCCTCAGGCTCCCCTCACCCAGCCCCCCAATCTCCCCCACACCCAGCCACCCCCAGTCTCTCCTCACCCAGCCCCCCAAGCTGCCCCCACCCAGCCACCCCAGTCTCCCCTCACCCAGCCACCCCCAGTCTCCCCCACACCCAGTCACCCCCAGTCTCCCCTCACCCAGCCACCCCAATCTCCCCTCACCCAGCCACCTCCCAGGCTGTCCCCACCCAGCCACCCCCAGTCTCCCCCACACCCACCACCCCCCAGTCTCCCCTCACCCAGCCCCATCTCCAGTCTCCTCCACACCCAGTCACCCCAAGTCTCCCCACAACCAGCACCCCCTGCTCCCCGCCACCCAACCCCCCAGGGTGCCCCCACCCAGCACCTCCAGTCTCCCCCACGCAGCCACCCCCATCTTTACCTCACCCCACCCCCCAGTAGCCCACATGCAGCCCCCCAAGCTGCCCCACACCCAGCCACCCCCAGTCTCCCCACATGCAGCCCCCCAGGCTTCTCCCCTTGCTCCCCCCTCAGGCCCCACCCCCCTGCTTGCAGGGCAAAGGCTGCAGGCAACACTGGCTACAGGCCGACTCCTGCCGCTCCCAGAGGCACCAGAGGGAGCTGAGCCCCTGCCCCCCGGCAGCCACCCCGTGGTCCAGGAGCACCACTCGGCCTGTCTGCCTGGAGGAAGTCTCCTCCACACGGAGGAAGGAGGGCTCCATTAGGGTGGGGTGGGCTGCAGGCGGAGGCCTGGAGAGCCTGCAGGGGTGGGGGGCAGGCAGGAGGGGCGGGAAGACGCCCCTGCCCTGGGCTGCTTCCTGCAGGAGAGGACGGGGCGGCAGGGCACCCAGATCCCGGGCCAGGCCCCCAGGGAGCCCCAGACCCGGGCTGGACGAGGCCCTGATGGAGGTGGTCCAGCAGGAGCCCCGGTGGCCCAGGGTCTTCGCCAGGCGCTGGGGGGGGGGGGGTGACGGCCCTCTCCCACCGCAGGAGACCACGCCGTCCTGCGGTTCACCTTGCTGCGAGGCGTCGAGTGGCTGCGGCCGCAGCGGGAGGTGACGCCAAGCTCAGTCCAGAACTGTGAGTCGGGTTGGATGCCCCAGAGCCGCAGCCCCGCCCTCGAGCAGGGGGCTCCGAGCCGGCTCGGCCAGTCTCCCGCTGACCGGGAGTGGCCACCAAGTGAGGCTGGAGAGGGAGTCTCCAGGCCCCCAAGGCCTTATCTGATTCATCAGGTGCATTGTGGCGGGGGGTGGGGGTTCCTTCCTCTGCTGCCCCCACCACCCGGGTTTTGCATGCCAAGGCCCCTGAGCAGGACACCCCCCCCTGTCCCTCCTGCCACTAAGCCTCGGCCCAAGGCAGGCCCTGAGGTCCTGGCCTCCGCCAGGCCACGTGACCTCCCCGTGTGTCCCCACTCTGACCCGCCCTCCCCGTGTGTCCCCACTCTGACCCGCCCTCCCGTGTGTCCCCACTCTGACCCGCCCTCCCCGTGTGTCCCCACTCTGACACACCCTCCCGTGTGTCCCCACTCTGACGTGCCCTCCCCGTGTGTCCCCACTCTGACACGCCCTCCCCGTGTGACCCCACTCTGACCCGCCCTCCCCGTGTGTCCCCACTCTGACCCGCCTTCCCCGTGTGTCCCCACTCTGACACACCCTCCCCGTGTGTCCCCACTCTGACGTGCCCTCCCCGTGTGTCCCCACTCTGACCCGCCCTCCCCGTGTGTCCCCACTCTGACGCGCCCTCCCGTGTGTCCCCACTCTGACCCGCCCTCCCCGTGTGTCCCCACTCTGACGTGCCCTCCCCGTGTGTCCCCACTCTGACCCGCCCTCCCCGTGTGTCCCCACTCTGACGTGCCCTCCCCGTGTGTCCCCACTCTGACCCGCCCTCCCCGTGTGTCCCCACTCTGACGTGCCCTCCCCGTGTGTCCCCACTCTGACCCGCCCTCCCCCGTGTGTCCCACTCTGACACACCCTCCCCGTGTGTCCCCACTCTGACGCGCCCTCCCCGTGTGTCCCCACTCTGACACGCCCTCCCGTGTGTCCCCACTCTGACACGCCCTCCCCGTGTGTCCCCACTCTGACACGCCCTCCCCGTGTGTCCCCACTCTGACACGCCCTCCCCGTGTGTCCCCACTCTGACGCGCTCTCTGTGTGTCCCCACTCTGACCCGCCCTCCCCGTGTGTCCCCACTCTGACACACCCTCCCCGTGTGTCCCCACTCTGACGCGCCCTCCCCGTGTGTCCCCACTCTGACGCGCCCTCCCCGTGTGTCCCCCACTCTGACGCGCCCTCCCCGTGTGTCCCACTCTGACGCGCCCTCCCCGTGTGTCCCCACTCTGACACGCCCTCCCCGTGTGTCCCCACTCTGACGCGCTCTCTGTGTGTCCCCACTCTGACCCGCCCTCCCCGTGTGTCCCCACTCTGACCCGCCCTCCCCGTGTGTCCCCACTCTGACGCGCCCACCCGTGTGTCCCCACTCTGATCCGCCCTCCCCGTGTGTCCCCACTCTGACACACCCTCCCCGTGTGTCCCCACTCTGACGCACTCTCTGTGTGTCCCCACTCTGACCCGCCCTCCCCGTGTGTCCCCACTCTGACGTGCCCTCCCCGTGTGTCCCCACTCTGACGCGCCCTCCCGTGTGTCCCCACTCTGACGCGCCCTCCCCGTGTGTCCCCACTCTGACCCGCCCTCCCCGTGTGTCCCCACTCTGACGCGCCCTCCCGTGTGTCCCCACTCTGACGCGCCCTCCCTGTGTGTCCCCACTCTGACCCGCCCTCCCCGTGTGTCCCCACTCTGACACGCCCTCCACGTGTGTCCCCACTCTGACACGCCCTCCCCGTGTGTCCCCACTCTGACGCGCCCTCCCCGTGTGTCCCCACTCTGACGCGCCCTCCCCGTGTGTCCCCACTCTGACCCGCCCTCCCCGTGTGTCACCACTCTGACACACCCTCCCCGTGTGTCCCCACTCTGACCCGCCCTCCCCGTGTGTCCCCACTCTGACCCGCCCTCCCCGTGTGTCCCCACTCTGACACGCCCTCCCCGTGTGGCCCCACTCTGACACGCCCTCCCCGTGTGTCCCCACTCTGACACGCCCTCCCCGTGTGTCCCCACTCTGACGCGCTCTCTGTGTGTCCCCACTCTGACCCGCCCTCCCGTGTGTCCCCACTCTGACCCGCTCTCCCCGTGTGTCCCCACTCTGACACGCCCTCCCGTGTGGCCCCACTCTGACACGCCCTCCCGTGTGGCCCCACTCTGACCCGCCCTCCCCGTGTGTCCCCACTCTGACACACTCTCCCCGTGTGTCCCCACTCTGACCCGCCCTCCCCGTGTGTTCCCACTCTGACCCGCCCTCCCGTGTGTCCCCACTCTGACCCGCCCTCCCTGTGTGTCCCCACTCTGACCCGCTCTCCCCGTGTGGCCCCACTCTGACACGCCCTCCCGTGTGGCCCCACTCTGACACGCCCTCCCCGTGTGGCCCCACTCTGACACGCTCTCCCCGTGTGGCCCCACTCTGACCCGCCCTCCCCGTGTGTCCCCACTCTGACCCGCCCTCCCCGTGTGTCCCCACTCTGACCCGCCCTCCCGTGTGTTCCCACTCTGACGCGCCCTCCCCGTGTGTCCCCACTCTGACGCGCTCTCTGTGTGTCCCCACTCTGACCCGCCCTCCCCGTGTGTCCCCACTCTGACACACCCTCCCCGTGTGTCCCCACTCTGACCCGCCCTCCCGTGTGTCCCCACTCTGACGCGCCCTCCCCGTGTGTCCCCACTCTGACCCGCCCTCCCCGTGTGTCCCCACTCTGACGCGCCCTCCCCGTGTGTCCCCACTCTGACCCGCCCTCCCGTGTGTCCCCACTCTGACCCGCCCTCCCCGTGTGTCCCCACTCTGACCCGCCCTCCCGTGTGTCCCCACTCTGACGCGCCCTCCCCGTGTGTCCCCACTCTGACGTGCCCTCCCCGTGTGTCCCCACTCTGACACGCCCTCCCCGTGTGTCCCCACTCTGACCCGCCCTCCCCGTGTGTCCCCACTCTGACACACCCTCCCCGTGTGTCCCCACTCTGACACGCCCTCCCCGTGTGTCCCCACTCTGACCCGCCCTCCCCGTGTGGCCCCACTCTGACGCGCCCTCCCCGTGTGTCCCCACTCTGACCCGCCCTCCCGTGTGTCCCCACTCTGACCCGCCCTCCCCGTGTGTCCCCACTCTGACCCGCCCTCCCCGTGTGTCCCCACTCTGACCCGCCCTCCCGTGTGTCCCCACTCTGACGCGCTCTCCCCGTGTGTCCCCACTCTGACCCACCCTCCCCGTGTGTCCCCACTCTGACGCGCGCTCTCTGTGTGTCCCCAGCGTCCTCCAGCAACCTCACGCAGACGCGGCTGGTGCTGTCTTCCGTGCAGCTGAGCTCCGTCCAGGGGTAGGCGTGCACCCCAGCTGCCCCCGGAGGAGGGGCCTGGGCTCGGCAGAGAGGGCCTTCCTGGGGGTGGGGGACGTCCTTGCCACCGCCAGCCAGGCCGGGCACTTTGAGGACTTCCAGCAGGGGCTACTGCAGGTCCTTTATGGCAGCTTCCCAGAGGGCCAGCCCTTCAGGGGACCCGGGGAGAGGGGCAGGATGCAGCGCTGGGCTGAGTGGCGGGACACTGGCCTAAGAACGGGGCCCTGGCCCTCAAACCACAGCAGGCCCCTGGCCGGCCAGCCCACCCCCAGCCCTGCTCCGGGAGCCCCTCTGCCCCGAGGGCAGGCGGGAGCCGGGGAGGCAGCGGGTCACCACGGGTCTGGGCCGGCCCTCTTCTGACCCTGGCTGCCCCTCTCCTCCTTCAGACAAAAACTGCCCCACACCAAAAAGGAGAGGAAGTGACCAAGTCGGGCCCGGCAGGTCATGCCCACCCCACTCCCACCCCTGCCATGGAGGCCTCCCGGCACCCTCACGCAGCCTCGCAGGCTCAGGAACCAAGGCCTGGCACATCTGCTCTGGAAAATCAAGACGGGGAACAGGTGACGGCCCAGCTACGGCAGCACCGCGCTGTGGTGTGTAAGCCGGGTCACTTGGGTGCGAGAGACCCCCCTGAGCCCTCCCACAGCCTGGGCGCCCCAGAAACAGTGTAGGGGGGTGGGAATAGGCTCCACTCAGCCTTGGAAACCCCGCTCCACCCCACCCTGCCTGCCTCGGCTTCTCTTCTCCCCTCCCTCGCTTCACCCCTGCCTGCCTCAATGTCTCACCCCTCCTGGTTCACCCCTGCCCGACTCAGCTCCTCCCCCTCCACCCCTGCCTGACTCAGCTCCTCCCCTCCCCCTCCACCCCTGCCTGACTCAGCTCCCCCTCTCTCTCCACCTCTGCCTGACTCAGCTCTTCCCCTCCCTCTCCACCCCGGCCTGACTCAGCTGTGCCCTCCGTGCTTCACCCCACACACTGAGCCTCACTCTGACCCACCCTTCCCCTCCCTGTGCTGTGGAAACCTGTCTGCCCTTGCTTTGGTTGAAGACCCTCCCCTCCTCGGCGATGCCCTTGTGGCAATGGTGGTCTGACCTCGCCCTGTCTCAGCTTCCTCCTCCCTCTCGCCATGCACTCCACTCACCTCTGGACACTCGCCGCCCGATTGGTGTTGGAGCCGTGCCGCCTCCTCCCCCCGCCCCCCTGCTCATCTGGACTAAGCAGGGTCAGGGGGTGTCTGCTGCGCTGTTCACGGTTGCAGCCATACATCAGAGTCGTGTGGGGAAACCTTACACGTTTTACGTACTGGACAGGCAGAGACAGAGAGACAGCGCCCCATGCACTGATTCACTCCCCAAATGGCCACAGTGTCCAGGCTGGGCTGGGACCTCCACGCAGGCCTCCCACGTGGGGGCAGGGCCCCAGCACTCAGTCATCACCGTGGCCTCCCGGGCTGCACATCGGTCTGGAGCTGGGACAGGGGACAGAGCGGGAGGGGAGGGGGCACGGGATGAATGGACCCCTTGGGGGTGTGGTGTGGGAGGGCGACTGTGGGGAGAACCCAGCTTTGCACTCTGCAGGAACGAATGGCGAGTGGCGAGCTGCCCCAGACCCCGCCGGTCCCAGAAGCTGCGGCCCCCAGCACCCGTCCCTTCCCTGAGTGCACCAACAGAGGGGCAGGGCAGGGAGAGCCGCGGGGGGCGGGGGAGCAGAGGCCAAGGCTGGGGCTGGGCTGACCTCAGGGTCTCCGAGCGACAGCTCCAAGTCCGCCTCCCCTCCCGCTGCTTCCTGAAGATGCTGAGTGGCTGAGTGGCCCGTTCTTCCTGACGCCCCACGAGCCTCCTCCGTTCTCTACTCCAGGGAGCACAGCGACCCAGTCCGAGGCGGGGGACTGGAGAGCGCGGACACACAGAGCCGCGCCGTCACCCCCGCACGTGACCCTGCCCCTCCGCGGAGGCCGGAAGGAGTCTGCCGTCGTCCGGTGTCCACGCCACAGCCAGGGCCAGGGCCGCGTCACAATAAAGCAGGCTCACATGCTCACCTGGGGCTGCGTCCTCCAGGCAGGAAAGGGATGGGGAGCCTTGCGCCCCGCCCCCGGCTCCCTTGGCCACTCCCCCCTCCAGACAGGCAGACGCCAGGCCTCAGGGCAGCCACACGGGCCCTAGGTCAGGGGCCCAGGGCCGCGTCCACCAGGCGGGCTGGCTTGAAGCCCCATCCCTGCCCCTCCGAAAGCTCACCCCAGCACTTGGCTGACAGACAGAGCCACAGTGTCCGCCTCACAGGCTCCTCCTAGGATTGGAGCCACGGGGCGGGGGTGGGGGCGGGGACAGGGTGGGGGCAGCATTCCCTAAATTCCGCGGTCAGACGCCACGGCAGAGCTGAGGGGCACGGCGTGGTGGAAGAGTCCATTCCCGGGACTTCACGTGCGTCTCCTGCACTGCGCATGGTGCTCAGTCACCACTCCCTGTGGAATCCCCCACACGCGTGTAGCCCGTGAAGAATCTCTCGGTTCTCCACGTACCCGCCCTGAGCCCCATCACTCCCGTCAGTACCAGCGCCCTTCCTGGGGCGGGGGAGGGGGGCGGGGCAGCAGCCCCTCTGCACTCCGGGTGCTGCCTGGTCACCAGGTCAGGGTGCATCCTGGACTCGGGCCGTGGGGGCACTCGGTGCTCCCAGGGAACCCAGGAAGGCCCGGCGCTCCGGGTCAGGCCACCCACACCCTTGCAGGGCCGCGTCTGGCTGCAGGGCTGTGGCCGTGAGCCTGGTCCAGGAGCTGCTGCTGCCTAACCCCAGCCGGCCCTGTCCGGTCACGTGGAGAGGCCTCGTGGCTCCGTCCCTGTCTGGGTAAGAGCACCACCCATCCTGGGATGCCTGCTTAGCTTTTTCTCTTTGCAAACCCAAAGCTACGGGCTGGTTTCTTGTCTTGACCCGAATCAGTGCTTGTGTGGACACTGCGGGCCCCTGCACGGTTTTTAGGCCCCACCCTCTTTGTCCCAACTCAGGGCCGGATCCTGGGACTGGGACTCAGCTCTTTCAACAGCTGGGACCTCCCGCTGGTCGGGGTGACTGTAACGCCTGAGGTGGGCCTGCTTTGCTAAACTGTGGTTCCTGCCGTTACACCTCTGCAGATGGGGCTCGCCACTGGCCTCTGGGTAGGTCTCCCACGACGGGGGCCACCACGACTTCAAGCGAGCTGATCTGACATTTGTTGAAGGTCACTTGGTGGAGAGAGGTTGTGGGGGACCAGCCGGGCGACCTGGCCTTGCTGTGGCGGAGGCGGGGTTGGGGGGGAGTCCAGCAGGGCTGGTGCTGGGGGCAGCACAGTGGTGGGGGCCATTGGAGGAGGAATTTCAGGACCTGGGAGGTGAGGCAGCGAGGCTGGGGCTCGGAGGTTCCACTCCCAGCAAAGGAAGAGCTGGCAAAGGCCCCGGCCCCGCGGGGACCAGGGAGAGAAGGTTCAAGGCGTGAGGAGGCTGAGAAGTCAGCCCCAGGCACACCCTGCAGCCATGGGTTCACGCACACAGGAAGTGCAGTGGGAAGGTCGTTGCGACCTTGACCTCCTGGGGGTCACCAGAAGTGCGGACAAAAGCCCTGACGGCTGGGAACCGTGACCTGAGTGCACGTCTCCTGCGCTCCAGGAAGACCCGGCCCTGTGGACTCGCAGGCGCCCTCACACCTGCTGCTTGCCACTGCGGGTGGTGGCATGGATTTCCTGTGGACCGCGTGTGACCGCCCCTCAAGCACACCAGGGACACTGCAGGGGGAAGCAGCAGGCGCCCGAGACAGGGCAGCATCACCACTCCCATGTGCCTGGCGCGCCTGCACTGGCATCCAGCACGCCTGGCTGTGCCAGCCCAGGCACAGGACCGCCTTGTCCAGCACAGTCCCTGACGGGAGCCACGCACTCGGCTCGATGCCTGGCGATGACCTCGGGCGAGAAGCAGGAGCGCCTGCAGAAACCCGGGAAGGCGAGTGATGGCCCCTCCCCCGGCCTGGACACCGGCCACCCTGCTCCGTCATCATGGGAGGGGTCTTCTTGTCAAGCAGCAGGGGTCAGGCACCCCGGGGGGGGGGCGCTAGGCTAGCACGGGAGCGTCACTCAAGGAACAGAGACGTCATCGGAGGGTGCAGGTTTACTGGCGGGACACACAGATGGGTGCTGTGCTGGGCGCCCCGGCCACCGCTGCGAGTCGGCGGCAACAGCTCAGCTTCCACCCACCCCCACCCCGGGAAGCTCCCCAGGACCTGTCAGCTGCACCACTGGAGCCAAGCACAGCGTTCTGGTCCGGTGACCCGGGAAGGAGTCACGGCAGGGACAGGTCTGAGCTGGCCCTCTGGCGTCGTCAGTCCCTCCCGGCTCCCTCGGGGTGAGCGGCCGTGCTGGAGCCTCGCTGAGATAGCACACAGGGGCCGCCAGGACTCCAGACGAGGTGGGCACAGGTACCGCAGCAGGTGCACCGTGGCTCCGGGTGGAGGAAGCCAGAGAGAGCACCGGGGAGGGGGCAGGGACGCTGCCCCCTGCAGACGCAGCCCCTCTGTGTGGGGGGTGGGGGTTGTCTTTGGCCCTGTCCCTGGCCGCTGCCCATCAAATGCCAGTATGTCGCCGCGTCACCCCGGTCTCAGGGGCCAGCACTCAGGCCTGGTCCGCCGGCCCAGCCACCTCTGCCACACAGAGGCCAGCGTGTGGAGTGAGCTGGGGAAAGTGCTCCCTGTATTCCGTGTCCCGCAGCTTCCTGTACACGTACATCAGCAGATCTGGAAATGTCTTCTGGAAGTAGCAGGCAGGGTCTCCGATCTGCGCCTTCATCCTGAAACAGCACAGAGGAAGGCTGGCCACGCCCGCCCCAGGCGCCCTCCCCAACACAGCCCTGCACACACCCCACCACCCGCCGGCTCCAGCCAGGTGTCGCACCGGGTCTCAGTCATTTCATCGCCTCACGGGAGCAACGCACAGCACGGCCCCTACTTGCAAAAAAAAAAAATTCCCAGGACCCCAAGGGCCCCGAGCTGTGCCCTGAGCTGTGCCCCGAGCTGTGCCCCGAGCTGTGCCCCGCCGGGCTCTGCCCAGCTGCCCTGTGCCCCGAGCTGTGCCCCGCCGGGCTCTGCCCCGCTGCCCTGTGCCCCGAGCTGTGCCCCGCCGGGCTCTGCCCCGCTGCCCTGTGCCCCGAGCTGTGCCCCGAGCTGTGCCCCGCCGGGCTCTGCCCCGCTGCCCTGTGCCCCAGAACAGGCAGGGAGAATGGGGAGAGCCTGCGGGACACCCCCCCCCGGCCCAGGCTCAAGGCAGACAAGCGTCCTCTGCCCAGCAGGCCGAGCAGGACCTGGACTGGACGTGAGCGGGAGGAAGGGACCCGGCACCTGCCTCCTGTTCCTGTCCTCGTGGATGTGCTCCCCGATGTTCCGGATGAACTTGAGCAGGTCCCCCACGCTGTTCTTGTAGAAACTGCCGCTGTCTTTGTAGAACGCGTTCATGTCCCTCATAATGCCCTTGTGGATCTGAAACGCAAACATGACGCAGAGACGTGGGGTCGCCAGGGGAGGGAGCACCCAGAGGCCCAGCACCGACTGGAAGGCACGCCACAGCTACCAGCGGTTACGAAAGAAGAGTGGAGGCAGAAAGCCACCAAGGCGCCCAGGGGAGCTGGCGGTCTCAGGCAGACGCACAGAGCAGGATTCTCCCACAGTGCTTTGCACGGGTCCTGGGGCTCCACAGCATCACTTCTGCAGCCTCCCATGGACAGACGCTTGCCTGGCCTCTCGGGCTCTGCAGGAGGCTGCTTCCAGGACCCTCGGGACCCCAAGTGCAAAAGGGCACCAGTCCCTTACGTAGGATGGCACAGAGCCTGCCCAGACCTGCCCAGGCTGCCCATGCTTCTGAGGTTGCCTCCTGGTGACCTGTCGCCTGAATTCAGAGCAGGTGCTGTGCCCCGGGTGACCTGTCTCCTGTATCCAAGGCAGTGCTGTGACCTCTCGGTGACCTGCCGCCTGTATCCAGGGCGATGCTGTGACCCCTGGGTGACCTGTCGTCTGGATCCAGGGTGGTGTTGTGACCTCTGGGTGATCTGTCGCCTGAATTCAGGGCAGGTGCTGTGACCTCTGGGTGATCTGTCACCTGTATCCAGGGTGATGCTGTGACCCCTGGGTGACCTGTCGCCTGGATCCAAGGCAGTGCTGTGCCCCTGGGTGACCTGTCGCCTGGATCCAGGGCAGTATTGTGACCTCTGGGTGACCTGTCGCCTGGATCCAGGGTGGTGTTGTATTCTGTTTGCCAGGTAGGTGTAACAGACGCGCATCGCAGGGCGTTTTTGATGGAGGTTGGCTGACCGCAGGTGCGGAGCCTGTGGCTCCCTCGGGCTCAGCGTTCACAGTGCCGCAAGCTCCTCCCTTCTCTGAGGTCCAGAGCCCCTGGGAGCTGGATGTCCCAGGTGGCAGGAGTGGTGGCCTCACTGGGCTCCAGGCTGACTCGTGGCGATGGGCGAGCAGCCAGGGCCACCGTGAGGGAGACCAGGCAGGGAAGGCGTCACAGCACCTGCTCCTGCCGGCCCAGCCTTACCTTCCGGGTCCAGCGGGCGAAGCTTGTGTGGCGCTCTGAGGGCCCGGGCTGCAGCAGCTGTAGGAGCCGGCTTCCAGGCTTCCGACTTTTGATGTCAGATTCGTTGCCCACGTTCCGAAGCGTCCTGAAGCGGCTGGGACGGCAGAACCTCGTTACCCCCCCGCCCCCGTTCTCTCTCTCCAGAAACTGCATCCTCTCCCCACTCCCTGCTCCCAAGAGGCCTCGCTCCAAGCACGCACAGCTCCGAGGCCCTGGGCCGCGGGTCCCGCCCTCCTCCCCGTCCACCCTGCAGGCCCCGGTGGCTTACTCCTGCCATGGCCAGAAGAAGGGGTGGTCCAGCAGGCGGCCGAGCAGGTCCCCCACGTCGTCCCCCGGGCACAGCAGCTGGTGGGCGAGGTCCTTGCTCTCCTCGTCTGGACAGCGGTGCACAACCTCACCAGGAGGTTTGGCCTTCAGGTCCTCGAAGGGCACGTCCCCGTTCTGGACCACGTAGAG